TTACTCAATTACACATGTTTTTTTTTTGGTTAAATTCAAAATTAACAATGTACTTTTATTTGTCCAGGTGGCACAAGCACAGACAAAGGAAGCGGAAGCTATGCGGAAGCGGCTAGATGATATAAACTATGTGGCGGAAACAAAACCAACCACCGCCACACCACCAACATCTTCCACCGGCACTCCACCACCACCTGCCGCCGCGGGATCTAAAAAGTCCGCCGCTGATATAGCGGCGGAAGTTGCCGACCGCCTTGCCGCCTCCACCTCCTCGCAATACATCATGTCATCTGTTCTCTCTTCATTTGCAGCTGAACTTACAAACAACAATTCCGTTTCACAACCAGAATCACCACCACCTCCCACCGATCACAACCACTTTATGCCGCCACAAATGGCGGCAAACACCCCATACCAAGCGGTGTTAATACCCTCTCAACCTCAATACCATACACAACAATACCTCCAACCCTCCAGTGGGATTGTGACATCCTATACATATAGTGGCGGCCCTCCGCCACCACCACCACCACCGGCTTATATGATGAGTCCGATGGTTCCTATGCAGATGACCCACCAGCAGCCGATGCCACCTCAGCAACCGCCAGCTTTCCGGCCACTTCCTCCGTTTTATGCACACCCTCATCAATCCCAGTGATGGATGCGATTTTGATGATTATTTGTGGGTTTGTTGAGAAAATATTGATAGTGCCAGGTGGAAGGTAGTTTTTTTTTTGTTATGATTGTTAGGACTAGGATGACGTGGCGATGTTGGCACCTGATTTGGTTGTTGTTAGTGTGTTTGTCTTGTTTTTTTAGTCAGGATCGAGGTATAAGTATTACTGTACATTTGGTGGTTGAAAGGCAGCTTACAATTTTGTATCCAAATATTTTTCGTATCTTTTGCTACAAACAAAGGGCTACATCCTCAATCCCAAGAGGCATTCTTGATTCTCATCTAATAGAATAAAACTGATTCTATTGAAACTGATATTGATGAGACAAATAGTACAATTTTTGGTCCCACACTTAAAAGGTGAATGTCTGAATGATACGGCTACTGAAACAGCAATCCAACAATAGCTTATGATTAGGATTTGCAACTCATATAAATTGACTAAATGGTTTATGGGAATAATATTCGAAAAATTGTTGCACCTTTTATAGTTCTTCTTTATCTTTTGGGAGACAAGCTATATCAAATTTTGCTCAATCATTTGGTGCTTTTATTGTTGTCCTTGCCATGCCTTCCCCTTAAGGAAGTTCCATCGCTCGAAGATAAATAGTAAACTTCTTACAGTGAAATTCAAAATTGCTTGTTCTTAAACTACCCCCATCGGTGCACATGGACGAACGGATCACATCTTTTAATTAAAAAAAAAAAAAATTAAATGTATATCTGCGGCCTAGGCCACATGGACGACCCAAGTTCACAAAAGTTCACCAAACCTTTTCTTGCCACGTGTTTAACAATGAAAGGATAGTTGTATATATATATATATATATATATATATACTAGGTTATAACCCGTGGAAACCACGGGTGGTATGTTTATAATTATTATATAGACAAAAAAGAATATTGTTAATAAAATTTAGAACATTGAAGCATAACCAAGAGCCATCATTCTTCATAGGTAATATTTATAAAATGATATGATAAAGCATAGGTAATATTTATAAAATGATCTGATAAAGTATAGATAATATTTATAAAATACAAAAGAAATTGGTTAAAGAAAGGATGGTTAATACAAAAATCTACAAAAAGGAGAAATGAAAATAAACCAGGTAAAAAACCTACATCAAATCACCCTTTGGTTCCACATGGTTTTCATCATCAATATGTGAAAATGTTAGCCACAAAACCGTTGCAAGCATTTCACAAACGTTTTATTGGTTCACTTTACTCTCATGAACAACATCCAAAGCGCCTGAAGTAAAAAAAAAAAATCTGAAAATGAAATTTTTAATAAACAAACTGTAAGATTGTTGATTTTTCAGATTTTTGGATAGCCTACCATTACAATATGTAATTGTTCATCATCAAATCCAGGAATCGTTTAGCAATTGCTTTGCTGCAAGATCTACCTAATAGATGATACTGGGTGTCAAATCTATTGCTTTTCAACAAAACTTCTGGATCAACAAAACTTCTGATAAAAACACAAACCAAAAAAATATAAAATCCAAACAAAATAGAAATTACAGACCCATAACAAAATCAAAATGGCAGGTGGCCTAGATTCGATTTGGTCTTACCTAGATATAGCGTATTATGGTGAGAGTGTTGAGATTCAAGACCTGTAAACACACACAAAAACACACACACACACAGTTAGAACAAAAACACATACACAGTTAGAGAGAGGGATAAGAGATAAACCTTGATAGGCCGAGATTCTACAGTTTATATGGTTTAGATCGAGGGTTTCTTAGGGATAAGGTTGTGGTGTGCGGTGGTATGATTGGTGGTTGAAGGCGCCATTTGTGGCATCTAAGGAGAGACGGAGAGGGATGAAGAGAAAGACGAATGGTGACTGGTAGTGCAATGGTGCGGTAGTGTGAGTTGTGAAGTCCGGTTTTGGGGAGTTATCCGGTGCTGGCTGCATCTTGATTCTTGAAGTGTGTACAGGAAGCAACCCAGATCTGATTAGTTTTGAACTCCTTCAGCGATGTTGTTTACGCTCACCAGAGTCTAGAGAAGGAGAAAGCTGAAGATGCAGGGAGCAAAGAGACGATGGTAGGGATGAGTGGTGGGTGGGCTGTTCTCACAGAGAGATTAAGGAAATGGGTGCGCTTAGGGTTTTTTTTTTTTTTTGATCGATCCATCGAGATAAGGAAATCATCTTTCATTTCAATTTGTTGTAGGTGGTTTTCTGTTTGCATTATATCATTGTGAAATTCAAAACAGTAGGCGGGTTTTCTCTTTTTTCAAAATTTAAACGGAAATTGATTTGTTTGCTAAAAAAATGGATTTTCAATTAATATGGCGAGAAGAAATATGAACTTGCATTAGAGTGTGCCACGTGTAAAATAAGCCTTCTAAAAAATAGATACGTCGCAATCTTAGGATTCTTTTATTAAAAGATATATATATATATATATATATATATATATATATATATATATATATATATATATATATATATATATATATATATATATATATATATATATATATATATATATATATATATATTAGATTTTTAGATAAGAGTTATTATCTTTAAAAATCCAACATTTTCTTAAGAGAAAACTCCAGAAAAATCCTATAATTTTAGTCTAATTTATGAAAAAGTCCCAAACTAATTTTTGTTTACAGAAAAGCATAGAATACCGGCTAAAATTTCGAAAAAACATTTTTTGCCCGGTTTCAAAGATTTAGCCGGTATTCTGTCCTTTTTCGTTAGTTTGCTCAAAATATTAGGATTTTTCTGAAAATTACCTGAGAACCAAACAGCAGAGAGAATTGTCTCAGCTTTTCATTACTATGGAATTAATGGATATTATTATTAATAAATCATTTATAAACATATAATTTTTTTTATTATAAACAATGGAAATACATTTTTTTGCTAATTTCTAGGAATAGAATGGTCGACTATGTACTTCTCTATTGTTTGTTGACCACTTCAAAGTCCCTATGTTCCTCTTACATACGTTGTGGGTGTCATAGTAAGAAGTAACTTGTTAGGCGTGACTAATACAAGATTTGATAATATATATTAATACACAATCAATAAGTGTCTACTTGTTATTAGGCGTGACGCTATATGATCACATGTTATTAGAAATATCATTACATAATGATTCTTGAACATATAGATATTTTATTATAATCTTTAACCTAATTACCACCTAACCTCCATATATTACCCGGTAACAACCATCAAATTACACACATCTATCGAGAGTGAAAAGTAAACTTTAAATGACAATTTAAATAGATAATCACCCTTCACTTGTTTCCATATAAATTATCATTCACGGATCACTTTTCACATTTGATAGATGTGTGTTAGTTGATGGTTGTTAACATGTGAGGTATGGATGTTGAGTGATAGTTAGGTTAAACAACATAAGATGAACACCAACATTAAAGGAACACTAACTGAGTACATCTCACCATCATATCCACAACAATACATAGGAGGAACGTAGAGAGTTTGAGTGGTCAACAAGCAATAGATGAGTACTTAGACCACCAATTTATTCCTAGAAATTAGCAACAAATGTATTTCATTTTCTATAATAAAAATATTTTTTATGTTTATAAATGATTTGTTAATAATAATATCCATTAATTCCATGGTAATTTTCAGAAAAGTCCCAATATTTTGGTTACCAAGTAATTTTTGGAAAAGTCCCAAAATTTTGAGCAAACTAACGAAAAAGGACAGAATACCGGCTAAATCTGCGAAACCGGCCGAAAAAGGTTTTTTTCGAAGTTTTAACCGGTATTCTGTAAACAAAATTTAGTTTGGGACTTTTTCATAAATTGACCTAAAATTTTAGGACTTTTCTGGAGATTTCCTTTTTCTTAATATAAAAAAATTAAAAAAATACTAAAATTCATGATTTTTTTCTCTATAAATAGAGTATAACATTGATATAGTTCATATCTCATCTTAACTCTTCATTTCTAAACCTTTTTATTTTTTTGATACCATGGATCCAAATTTCGTTTTAAATCTTGACGATTCTCAAGATTATCAAAACTTTCAAGGTTATGAAAGCTCTCAATTTTTCCCAAATATCAATCAATTCCCTTTCACTGAAAATATTCAAACCTCACCAAATACCGGAAAAAACCTAAGAGGCGATAAACGGGATGCTGATGAAGATATCACTTTAATGTCAGCATATTGCATCGTTAGTGAAGATAAGCGTCGTGGAAAAAACCAAAAGAAAACATAAGTATGGGCACAAGTGAAGGAGCTATATGATGCAAATCAAGCAGAAAACCCGGGAAAGCTTGGTAATAGGAACATAGATCAAATGAAAGGTCGTTATAAACGACTTAATGAAAGTGCTGGAAAATGGGTTGGTGTTTATCGAGAAGCATATAGAAAAAGAAGAAGTGGAATGAGTATGAAAGATGTTGAGAATGAAGCTCATAAGTTTTATGAGACAAGTGGAAGCAAGTTCAAGGACACGATTGTTTTTAATGAGGTTATGTGTAAGCATCGAAAATGGGATCTACAACTAGATCATGATGCAACACGATCACGTCCCAAATATGAAGTGGATGATGAAGAAAGTGGTGGTAGCACAAAAAGATCAACGTCTACTGAAGAAGGAGACTATTGTGTCCAATCCAACACAGAAGGGGAAAGTATTGGTGGTTCAACAATTAAACGTCCAACAGGTAGAGATGCAGCTAAAAGAAAAGAAAAAGGTAAGTCTTCTAATGAAGTTGTTGCAGAACTTCGTGCGATGAGGCTTAGTAGAGATAGTGAAGTAGAAGTAATGAAAAAAAGACTCGACTTGGATCAACAAAGGGAGCAAAAAACAGATGAAAGGGAGCTAATAAAGATGCATAGTTTGCATTTGAACACACTCCTACAAAAGGACCAATTGTTGCCTGAAGAAGAAAACATGAAACATTTTCTAATGTCTAAGTTTTATGGAAATTAATTACAGTTTAGTGTATGTTTTATTTTCAGTATGCTTTTAATGTATTTGTAAGATATTTTATTATGTATTTGTACCTCATGTTTTTAATGTATTTGTGAGATATTTTATTATGTATTTGTATCTCATGTTTTTAATGTATTTGTAAGATATTTTATTATGTATTTGTATTTCATGCTTTTAATGTATTTGTAATATATATTATATGCTTTTATTGAATGCAGAGTTGTCATTATCATCTTTATTGAATGCAGAGTTGTCATTATCATCTTTCAGAGACACCACTCCTTTTCAGTATAATCTTATCATCTAGAAAATATGCCAATATCTTATGCATATAAGATTCTCTGATGCGTCATCTTTTTATTGGATCTTCGGATTTTATCTAGATAAACTATTTTAACATTATCTTTATTTAACATTTAATAACAAAAAAAATCAATATTCTTCCTATATAAATAGAGTATAACCATTACATACTTTCGTATCCACCTTTAACTCTTCATTTCACTCTTCATTTCTAATCCATTTGAAAAATGTCTCATAATGCAAACTCATCAGATGGTTCCGGTTCATCGAATGTGAATGAATATGATGAATGGGAAGCACGAGTTGTTCAACAAAATCGACAACTTGATGTTATCATGAGTGAGTTACTCATAGGCATACCAAATATGAGCGTAAGAGATCACCCAAGAGCAAGAAGGAGGTATTGTGATCGGGAACGTGAGCATGGTGAGGCACGTTTGATGAAAAACTACTTTTTTGACAACCCAACGTATGGTGAAGAAAAATTTCAAGGTAGATTTCGAATGCGAAAACCACTATTTCTTCGTATAGTGGAAGCTGTTACAGCTAATGACCGATATTTTCAACAAAGACGTGATGCCACAGGCAGACAAGGTCTTTCACCATTACAAAAATGTATTGGAGCTATGCGGGTGTTGGCATATGGGACATCAGCAGATGCACATGATGAATATTTGAGAATGAGTGAGACTGTAACAAGGGATGCTCTTGTAAAGTTTGTGGAATGTGTTATTTCATGCTTTCGTGAAGAGTACCTTATACGCCCCAATCAAGATGATTTGGCAAGACTGCTCCATGTTGGAGAAGAACGTGGATTTCCAAGTATGGTAGGTATTATTGAATGCATGCACTGGAAATGGAAAAATTGTCCCACCGCTAGGGCTGGACAATATGCATGTAGAAGCGGTAAGACAACAATAATTTTGGAAGCTGTTGCATCGTATGACTTATGGATATGGCATGCATTCTTCGGAACACCGGGTTCATGCAATGACATTAATGTCCTCCAAAGATCTCCTCTTTTTGATGATATCTTGGCAGGTCGAGCACCAAAGGTGAGTTACATTGTGAATGATCGAGAAAATCATATGGCTTATTATCTCACTGATGACATATATCCTTCATAGGCTGCCTTTGTCAAGTCAATAAGTTCTCCACAACTTCGAAAACACAAGTTGTTCGCTGAACATCAAGAGGCTGCTAGAAAAGATGTTGAACGAGCATTTGGAGTTTTACAAGCTCGTTTTGCATTTCTTCATCGCCCTTGTCTTGTGTGGGACAAAGATATGATGGGTAAAATTATGATTGCATGTATCATCATTCATAATATGATAGTTGAGGATGAACGACACACATACCTTCATTATTATGATCAATCCGAATTTATAACAACAAAAGACGAACAATCATTTGAATACTCTACTCAACGAATTGCAGATCTATCCAGTTATATGGCCAACAGGGCACAAGTTCGCAATAGAGATGCTCATAACGCTCTAAAAGACGATTTGATTGAGCATATATGGAAAAAATTCAACACTGAAGAATAATTATGTAGTTTGCATCTTCCGTATTTGTAACTTATTTTATCTATTTTATTAAGTATGTTTCATGAATGTAAAATAATTTTTTATCTAGTTTTTTATTATTTTTTTATTTTATAATTTCATGCTTAAAATAAATAATTTATTTGTTTCAAAATAAAATATTTAATTTTAATATTTTTAGTAAAATAAATTATATTTTTTAAGGAAAAATGAGTTTGGGTTGGTTTTCTAATGGGTGTTAAAAATTGGATTGGGTTGGGTTGTATAGGTGGAAGAAAAAGAAATTAGTTTTTTATTGAAAAGTTGGACTGAGTTGGGTTGCTAATGGGGATAGTCTTAGCTACTTATTCTTTTTGAAAATCTTTAACATATTTAAAAATATTAAATTAACATTTTGTATCAAGTACTTGAATGTTTGATGAAAAATATAAGTTGCATCTTATAGATACTTGAAGTGCTAGTCTCACCGAACTTCCTCCGATCAGTAAGATGAGAGGACCAGTTCTTCTTTTAGTGTCTTGTGTCTCCATAGTAAAAACAAGATCCATATTTAGAGGCTTTTCTTGATTTCTAGTATCCAATGCATGAACAAGTTTGTGCCATACATCATTATATTGTTGGAATATCTTCTTCACTTGAAAAAACATGTGATATGCTTTTAAATTTTACAAGTCCTTTCGAAGGTCAAGGATCATTGTTCCCAGTATGATGTCAGATACATCATCATCGTCATAGTGATGCTTCCACCAAGCATCATGTTCAGATTTACAAGTTAGTGCAGGTTGTTTAGGAATTGGACCTCTAAGAATGTATAATTTATGATCATTCTTGAAAACAATTTTCAGACACGAAACCATTCTTTAAAATTATAACTATCGAATGTTATTGTCTCTTCTAGATCATCAACAGAAAGGTGATACATGGTGGTAATAGTGGATTTTGTTTTCATCTACAAAATTTAACAAAATTCATTTAATATTTCAATATTTACATCTTCAATAATTAATACCGTTTAAGTATCTAAAGCATTAATTATTAAAGTCTAGAATTCAAGTTGCAAAACAAATAAAATGTTAGATATCCTTTTTCCCATTTATTTAATTTAACAAAGTAGATAGAGATTATCAGTTATATTCTAATATATAATTCACAACGGTAGGAGATCACTAATAGTTTTTGTTAATTGACATGTTTGATTTCATCTATGCTCCAGACCTCTTTTGCTTATGCGACCTTATAACAAAAGATTTACGATCTAGTCATCAAATTAGAGAAACTTTTGTAATTGGCCTATAACTAGTTACATAAATCGCGAATACACTTCGACCATAAAAAGATAATACAAGTGGTTAGATATATTTTATCCCACAAGCATCATTGCACATGACTTGTGGACGTTTCTATAGTTCGACAACATAGACTTGCGTTTTGAAGAAGAGGTCTTTATATGTTTTATAGTTCTAGTTTTAAAAACATATGATATCATTGTTTATACATGCATCCAATAAGCCATAATACCCTTTTATTAAAAAACATTTTATTGCAAGATTCTTTTATAAAATCCAATTTTATATTTTTGAAGCGATCAAATTTTAAAATTAATATTTTATATTAAGGTTTGACGTTTGAGCACTAAAGAATCATTTAATACCTTTTAATAAAACTTCATTGACACTCGTTCAGACTTGGTAAAGGTTGTCACGGCACCTGTAGTAGGACATAAGACTTATCGTGATGCCCACGGACCAATTTACGATGTCTCTGTCGCATTTTATTATATAAGGTTTGAGTTTGAATAAATCTCTAAAATCTCAATTTTAAACTTATAAATTTTAATCATAAAATTTTTTTGTAATAGATTTTTAAACGGAAAAAATCATTTTATTTTAAAACCTTTTTATACATCTTATGTTTAAAGAAAAATTTCATTAAAACCAAACTCCATGCGATCATTTTTATGTTCAAGCATTATCTAGCATTTAAAATCAAATTATACAAACATGCATAATATTAACATAAAACAAGCATTACAAGCATAAAGTATATATGCATGAACTAACCATAAATTAGTGACATTTTGTGAGTCATAACAAAAAAGTCAAATCCATTCGTAAGGGACATAAGTGACCAAAAACTTCTATGATGTTATTCATGCTCTCACTTGCTTCAACACTTTGTAGCAAGTTCATGAAATGATTTATAAAGATTATAAAATTTTACCAAAATTAAGTGCATGAACATTTGATCTTCAAAATGACCACCATCTTCAATCTTATTACATTTTTATAAAAAATAAACTATTATAAAACTAATCTATTACTTACAAAATATTATCTATTTAATTATTACATACTATATGAATAAATAAATAAATATTACAACCATTTTAACAAATCAACACAAACATAATCACAAATGGCCCTTGGAAAATTTATGCACTTACTATATACATTTACATATAAAACGATACTTTGTTTTTCTAAGACAACTTTTATGACAAAAAAATAAATGTTAAAATTTTTGGTCACTAAAAATAATAATTATAAACATTTTAAAGTTGTCCTAGAAAATATGTATGATATTTTCTTACATGTTTTTCAAAAACAAGGATTATCCAAATAATCTTAAAATATAACCATGCATGCACAAATGGCTATGGAAATAATAACAACCTTTGTAGAATTCGATTCCTCAAAGGGAGGTTGAAAGTTGATGAAGTGTTGGCATGAGAGACCTAAAATAGAGCTCCTCTATTTATATCCACCTAAGCAAGTATTAGCCACCAAAGATGTTAGTCTTCTCTTGTATTAAGTACCACTTAAGCCTTTAAGAACTAAACATCATTTAGTTTTAAAGGAGAAGCACATAAGGACTTAAACTCTACACTACATTTTTCAAGAGAGAAGAAAGAAATGAGAGAACTCATGCTCTTGACTTTCTAGAGAGAAAAAAAGAGGAAGATCAAGCTTAAACAGCTAGTCGTGAACTCATAAAACAAATAAAATATATTATCACTTCAAAAAACATATCATTCAAACCATAGGTTGCCAATTCCATTGATCATAATAACAATTCCTCCATTAGCATTACAGTCTTTACTAATTCAATTACATAAATAGGAAAATTAAGCATACAACAACCCAAAAA